CAATAAATTTTCATGGTGAAAATATTATAATACGTTAACTAGTATTATAAACGCATTAGTTATGGCATTTTCGAAAATTTTCGACAATTTCCTTATACTTCCACCTCATACAAATATGCTGAACACAACTAGTTCTATAGTATCAATGAAATTCATCAGTCTACAAAAAAATTGTTAAATAATAATTTTTACTTGGTAATAAGGCTAACCCCTTCTTAATTTTCATATCTCATTCTTAAAGGACAGATTTGCATCATTATCAATTAAATAAATTTCAAAATCTCATACTTGGATAGTTTACACAAATTCGTATAGATAATTCCATCCATTGGAGGGAACATATTCAACATTTAATATATTAAAGTTTCAAGCCGTTTTTTAAATACTTATCAACTCCCATACCATTATAATATTATACAAATTATTTTCATTGACTATAATTCAATTATAGACCTGTGGGCATTTCAATATTTTCAATAAATTTATATTTCATTTTTCAGTAATTTTCCCAAATCTATTACGACATAACATAAAGTAATTATTAAAATCAACCATTGCTTTTAACTTGTTGAAAATTTATTGATAGAGATTGAATTATAAAAAAAATCTTTAAGGATTAAAATTAAAATATAAAACTCAATAAAATTCTTAAAATTATTTTAACAATTTAAAAGATAAAAAAATGTATAAAGAATTATCACGAATTTATTGTTGAAGATTAAACATTAATGGCTCATAAATGACCTAAAAATTTACGTAATAATTTTTTTTATAAAGTGTATTCACCATGATCGAAAATAATATTTTGTTATCACTTATCTAGATGGTTATGAAACAAATATACATACAAAAAAATTTATGTATAAAGAGAACACAGTAATTTGGTCCTTAGTTTCTGTATCTCTCTCGCTTTCTTCCTCTCTCTTTTGAATTCCATAGATATATGTACATAATGAATAAAATTTTTTACTTTATCTACAAATTTCATACATGCATATAATATGAATATGTAAATTTATGTATATTTTAAATATTTATAAATGTATGCATTCATATATATTATATCCATCAGTAGCATATACTACTGACCCACAAAACAAAATTCATCATATACAAAAAAACAAAAAATCCAATAACACAGAATAATAAAATGCTAGCCTTTCCTTGTTGTCTTTTTTTCGTAAATTTTTTATGATAGTATATTGCTTTACATACATATATATATGTTTATATGTATAATATATATAGACATATATACGGAATATGCATATTTGAATATACTTTTGGGATACTCTTTGAAATATCCCCAAAAAGTAGCTTTAAATATGCTATAGATGAATTTAAATGCATCTATTTCACATATACAAATTCATGTATGTATACATAATATGATAATAAAAAATAAACAGGGTGATTACTTTATTTGAAAATTTAAATTGAATCTAAAGGAAAAAATTAAATAATTTATTTTAAAAATAAATAAAAGGGGAAAACAAATTGCATAGAAATTAGTAATAAGATCCAAGTTTTTTGACAAAAAGTTCATTAATTAGAGTGATTTAGTTATAACAAAAAAAAATCTATTTAACTTTCAATATTCTACAATTCTTTTCTAATATTCTACTCGTACAATTCAATAGTTTTCTGTTATCCTCAATTCAGAATTTAGATTTATTCTTTTTGTTTCCTAATATAAGAGCATAATTTTTGTCACTACTTATTGAACATAAACTATTTCAAACCCAAATTTTGGACAATTTATTTATGGGTCTTAAATGCGCTTCTGTATTTCACTACAACATATTTAGTTTATTAAGCATTTTCTGATATTTTTTGAAATGGGTTCACCCTGCGGGCATAACTTTCATATGCCAACATATTTTATATGAGTATGCGTATATGCGTAATATGCAATAAAATTTTATGTTTGTATGCTAAAAATTAAATTCAAATTATTTTATACACATGTATAGTAAACATATTATAAATACGTTCATACATAGATTATACAACAAAATTCATTTATTATATATGCAATTTTTAATTGTGATTGTATACGTAAGTGAATATGTAATAAAAGTATATGAACTTGTATGAATTGCATAATTGATGAGAAAACTGCCCATATACACATATAGATATATTGCATGTGCATTAAAATAAAATTTGTAGAAACAATAAAACTAGTTAAGCTCCATGCAACATGATTAATTCTGTAAATTTGTTATTTTACAAAACTTCCTTTTTAAAAAATAAAAATGAACAAATATCCTTAATTCTTTTGTATACAAATATAAAGTTTGTAAATGTGTCCTTTGTTCTCAGGTAAATTTTTATTTCATTGCAATCTATTGGAATTTTTATTTTTACTTCTTTGTTTTTGTAAATGCAAAAACTTTTTTGCTGTTTTTTTTTTCGGTTCTTGATAATTTAAATTTTTACATCATTTTGTGAATTTTTTATTCGATTTCAGTTTCTGTAATAAGAAAAAGAAACAAGGTCACAATTGAGAGTAATAATCAGGAATAATATAACAGTGGAATTAAAAATACATAAGACTTTAAAGTTGAAAACTAAATTACAAATGTAATTTTTGAGGCATAAATTTTCATTTGAAAATTAATTAAATTCAATTATAAACCAATTAACCATTACAACTTTTCGATTAAAAATAATAGTTATACGTATGTATTTGATTAACACTGATTAATAAAAAAAAACAAAAATATCAATTGAAGAGTTTACGATTTCCTTCCCATATTTTGAATACAAAAATTCAATGGCAGCATTTTCAAATTACTAAAAATTGCATAAATTCAGGCGAACATTTTTATAATATGAATTGGAAACCGATATTAAAAGGAAAATGTATTGAAATTAAAATTGACTGGCTTTACAAGAGCTAAACTGTTGCTGTACTGTTGTACTTTGTAAATTTTAAAAATAAATTAAATTTAAATTATGATATCAAATGATCATTTGCAATATTATAAATAAAATGTAATAAAACCTGCAAATACATACTTTATTTTTAAAACATTCATTCAAATTTTTTTTTATATTTTATTTACTAAAACCAAAACGGAAACTTTATCAATTTGTGCCAAACATTTTAATGACGAAAATTTTTGCATAAACAACAATGCAAAAATTTATTTATTCTGATTTAAATTTTCCTCTCGGAAATATACTGATAAATGTAGAATTGGAAATATACCATTTAAATTCAGGCCTGAAAACGTCAAGAAATTCAAATAATAATAAAAACGAATAATATATAAAATCAATGAATAACCCAGATATTTCACGAACAAAAAGAACTATCTAGGTATAAGTATATAATATATGTAAATTGATATACACATGAGATTGTGCAAGAGGAAGTATAATATACAGAGTGTCTGGGTTTATCTTACAAGTAGAAAATATGTGAATAAGTTGTGCTTAATATCAATTTATTAAGTTACATATTAAAGTAGCAAGTGAATGACAGTATAATCCTTGTCTTAATAATTATAAATATTATAAGATCAATACAATTACAGGCCAAAATAAATCAGTATAGCTATATTAATTTCGAGTTCTGAAATTTTTAAAGTTGTAAGGCATAAATTATGGAATTCTACAATAGTGTATAATTTTTATTGTATATAAATTTTTTATATATTTTCTGCGCATATATGCAAAATAAACTAAAAAAAACTGTCTTACGTGAATAACCAATAATCAAAATATACATAAATTTTAATCTTAAATCTGACTGCTTTAACAAAATTTTTGATGCTTCCTTTTTAGAAAGGTTTACTGGTATTCCTTAAAGAAATGTCAAATAATTAAAAAAAGTATTCGAATGGCCAAATATTTAAATTGCCCGCTAGGTTTTAAGTCGAGTATATTTTAGTCTAAGGAAAAATATCCATGCATACATGAAACAACAACAATATCTTTTGTGAATAAATAAATTGACACAAATAATTTGTAAATTAAAATGTTTCCACCTCTTGATACTAGACTAGTTTGCATAGTTACCTGATCCTTTTTCTACTCCCTTTAGAATCATAGGGCATATTCATGGCTTCACCATCTGATTCTATCGTACGCAATTTCTTTTATTTCAGACCATATTTTTCGGGGTCCTCTTACTTCTTCCTCTACTGATCTTTACTTTGTGGAGTCCATTCAAAGTCCTTTCGTGAAATATTATTTACTGTCCTTCAGAGAGTGTGGCCTATCCATCTCCATTTCTTCTTTCTGATGACATATAATAAATGTTAGAAAATACAATAAAATATTAAACTAGCTGATTTTATAATTTCACTCTGAGGCCTAAAAATATTAGTTTATTAAAAAATATGAGATTTCTTTTAGGTGTATTATACAACATGTGCGCACATATATACATACACCTATGTTGGCATGTATATGAAATGTAACCTTAAATTAAACAAAATAAAAAAAAAAAATAAATAGGAAAAAAATTTAAAAAAAAAAATGAAAATTAAGATAAAAAATGTTATCAAGGTTTAAAAAAAAAACACAAAAAATTTTTATGAATTTTTATATTTTTCGTCAAAAATAATAACAATAATAAAATTATCCTTTTTTTCAACTATAACAAATATAATTCTTATTTTGTTTTCTTCTTTTTTTCTTGCATATCCTTTTTGGAAAACAACAACAACACTACATCAATTTTATTAACAACGGATATTATACAACAATAAAACGAAAAAAAAATAACAAATGAAAAACTAAAAAAAAAAATTAAATTTGAAATAATAAAAAAAAAATAACAATAATTAAATTTCTCAAACATATAAACATGATACACAAATGAAAACAATAATGATAAAAATGATTTGTTTTTGGGATAAACTCTTTGACACATACGATATACATGAATGGAAAACGTGTTTAATAAAATATACATGAAAAACAAATCATAACCAAATACCTACACGTCATTATGTGTATATGTGTGTTAATTAATAACATAACAGGATTACCATATATACGTTTAATACCAAAAGTTACTGCAGTTGCTGGCGAAACATTATATTTAAAATGTCCTGTAGCAGGATATCCTATTGAGGAAATACATTGGGAGCGTAGTGGTCGTGAATTACCAGAAGATATAAGACAAAAAGTACAACCAGATGGTACATTAGTTATTAGTCCAGTACAAAAGAGTGCTGATTCTGGTTTATATTCATGTTGGGCACGTAATAAACAAGGACATAGTGCTAGACGTAGCGGTGAAGTAACTGTAATAGGTTTGTATCCAATTTTCTCTATTCTTTCTATTCATTTTATTGTTCTTTTTATATTGAAGTACAAGAAAAACAATTTACTAAATTTTTGTTTAAAAATAATAAAAATATTTTACTTTAGATTTTACGTACTATGTATAGGTACAGGATCTTGATACTACGTTTGTACATAATATGTTATATAGAGCTAGAAATATGTACATATGACGTAACTACATGCACACATAATTTACTCATAGCTTCTGTAGCAAATGTCTTCTCTTTTATTTTTCATTATCATTTACTTTATATAAGAATTTACTTTCAGTCCCAGAAGTAATAACGTGGACTGATACCAAAAAAAATAAAAAGGAGACTTTTTTTTTTAATTTTTATCCTTTTTTTAATTACATTGCGCAAAAATGCTATAAATTAAATTTAAAATAGGATTAAATTTTGTATCAGAAATTTAGAAAATTTTATTAAAATAGAAACAAAATTTATATAATTTTTTGCAATACTTTATTTTTTTTTTGTTGCGTACAGTATCCTTTTTATTTTATTTTTTTTTTGTTCTTTTTTTGGCATAATACATTTTTTTATAGCATTACGAATAAGAATAAATTTTTTTTCAGCAAAAAAAAAATATATATATAAATTTTATAGAGTCAAAAGTAAGAAGGACTCAAAGGATAAAATATATAAAGGATACTTCTTTTAAAAATATTTTTTTGTTTTTACATATCCATACTTAAGTTTAGGTATATAATATGTTAGTATGTTTGTTGATAAGAACAATATACCTACATATAAATTTTCACAGAAAAAAGAAATTTATAGAATTTATAATATCGACTTATGCTTACTTACATAGTGTGCCTAATAATTTTTCAGATATCAGAAGTTTAAATTTTAAAAAACAAATTATGCCCTTTTGAATATTGTATTTTTTAAAAATCTACATCTGTTCAGTACCAAATATTAAATCAATTTTGTTTATTATTCTTCTAAGTTTTCAGAGAAATTAAAGCATAGTTGAAGTGGATTTGTTTAAAATCAAAACCTCTTCAACTATGCTTTACCAATCTCACAATTCAACAAAAATTTTGGAAAAATTTTTAAATATCAACAATATTTGCAATTAGATTATGAAATAATTTTTATATACACACCACGAATGGACTTTGATTTTTTAAAATTATTTAAAACAATCAACTGTAATCTAACTAAAAATATAAATTCTTAGTGTAATTTTCGTCTATAATTGTGTCAGTAATTCAGTAAATTAGTGTAATAGGCACAATACCTATTTATATGTGTCCTTGTGATTGTCTACTTCAAATAGAAGATTGCATGTAGCATCTCAACGTAAACAATACGTAGTAATCATGTGGATTACAGTATAAAGCAATGTGAATAACAATTTGCCGGTAATTTCTTCATACCTCTATATCTCAGTTGATTGAGCATCCGGCTAAAGAGCGTTAGGTCGTTCCTTTGATTACGTTATCCATCTGTTCTACAGTTACATGAAGAAATTTCCATTAATTTAAAATTGACTTAATATTAATTTTCTAAAATAAATAATTACAATTGTATTTGGGCATCGGTCATAATGGGCATTGTCGTGTTCTCATAAATAAAAATTTCTTTAGCTTAAAATTCTTATTTTTAAACAATGACAGGTGGTAAAGCAAGAATATGGATGAACAATCATTTATACTAGAAAATACAAAATACTAAAAAATTTAATTACAAATTGCATTCTCATACAAAAAAACTAAAATTCAAGTAAAATGGTTATCTTAAAATTTTAATTATTATCAGTCACACCATGTAAAGTAAATGGAGTCCATATTATAAAAGAAGTTATGTATATGTATTTAAAAAAATTTCAGGATAATTAAGGACGTGCTGATATCAACAGAAGTAAAAATAATTTTTTTCCATTTAATAATATTTTTCTTTATTTTTTTCTATACTTGAATACTATATTTTATATACATTTTTTTAATTACATATAATACCCATTTTACATGAATTTAACCCTAAATTTTATAATATTACGGTATGTTTTTGAACCTTAAAAATTCTTCTCTCAAATAAATATTAAATACTTCAATTTAAAGAAAAAAACAATGTTTTAATATTCAAATATTTGGGTACATTAAGATAAGAATTGATTAGTAATATAAAATGAAAATATGCTGAATAAGGGGAAATCAGTAGCAATATTTTGCCAATGTATACACAATGTAAAGCAAGTTAATAAAATTATAAAGGAAATTTTTTTATTATTTTTTTCATTTCGGATACAAATTATTGTAAACAATAACAATTACAAATAGTTGAATATGAAAAATATAAAATGAAACCCAAATCTTTCAAAATGAAGAAGGTTAACTTGTATAACATAAAAATTATATTAAATCTAAATTAATTTCTATACCTTTTTCAAATTTTAACGCGTTTGGACAAACAATATGCCAAAATGAAACGCTGCTTTAATTGGTAAATTAAGATTTCGTGACTTGATTTAACAATCTAAATTTAATACATACATATATTTTAAAACTTTAAAATAAAAGTTTTAAAAATTGCAATTATTTTGAGTATGTAAGTTTAACATAAAAAATGAAGACAATTGGGAAGATTTTGTTAAATTAATTTGCTATATAATTAAAATTTTAAGTATAAATTGTTTTTAAATTGTTAATAAAAAGAGTTTTGTTGTAAAATTTAGGATTAAAACTAATTTTGGTAACTCTTTTATAAAATTTTATTAACGAAATATTTTAGTTCAAGAAAATACCGAAAAAAACACAGGAGCTCTCATTTTCTTGGAAAATCAACTAATTTTACTCAATTTTTCGATTTTCTAGTTATATAAAAAGAATGATCACTCAATAAAACAATTCATATATTACAATAATTACAATGTTAATATTGGTGAATATTAGGGTTTAAAAGCATACAACGCTCAAAAGAAACCCTATCTACTTTTAAATAACTTAAAACTAATTTAATTTTTATATTATACTAGAGTTTATATGTTATCATTTAATTCGCATTTGTGCATACCATATGAGACCAACTATTTTTAATTAAGCTAATAATCAATTATGTATCAAAAATTTTTGTGTGTTTACCCACATAAATAATAGAAGTATTATAAAATATTGAATTCCTTATTTATTATGAATACCTAAAGCCAAATTAAATTTTTATATTTTCCTCCTAATAAATCCTCTCCCCGCCTATATTTAAAATATTAAAAAATTACTAATAATTTCAAACAAATATATTGTATTCATTACCTTCTACTTACATATATATTTGTTTTTTGCAAAATCAATTTTATGTGAGCAATCACATGATTCATGTATTTCAAATTATTTTTTAAATATTATCAGTTTGACGTCAAAGTGTTTTATACATTATTTTTACTTATACTGCATATATACTGCATACGCTAAAGTGTTCCTCTATATTATTTATGAATTAATTCCCATATCATTTTATTAACGATACTTGTAATATAATTCTATTCACTAATTAATTAACCAAAATGTGTAAAAACCTTATGACTCTTTGAGTTTTCTATATATAATGCACAAAAGTTTCAATCAAAAAAACTACAAAGTAACAATAATCTCTTTAATTTCATTTACTAAATATGTAGGTATTTATTTGATAACAATTTTATAAAACATATAATACTCGAGATATGTATGAACATGTATATGTATATGTATATACCTAATAAATTCACACATGACATAAAATTTAATGTAGGTGTGAAAAACATCAAAAGAGAGCTATACATACATATATAATGTTTTTAGATTTTGTTTGTTAACAAATGAATGAACAAATGATTTTATAATCCTCGCAATTAAAATTTTATTTTATCGTTAAATAATATTAAAATACTAAGCAGAAAATATTTGCAAAAGTAAACCTCTTTTACGATCACTAAATTGTAATATTATAGCGATTTCTGTAAAAAATTTTAAAATTTATTTTAAAAAAAAACTCATATAAATTTCGTAGTTGCCAACTATTAAGTTCAATAATTTGTGTTACAATTATAAATTTTCAATACCCGTTTATGGAAACTACAGTGTGATCATATTCTAAACAGCGTTCCCACTTGGATACAATTGCACTCGTTTGGATAAATTTTTGCTTTAAATTTAGTGTGGATACAAAGGTACTCAAATCTGCTAAAGTGCCAGAATTGGCTTCATTGAAAAATTTTGCTGAAATATGAATATATTTCTTTCTTAAGCACCAAAATATGTGACAGTGCTTCTAATATTAAATGGCGAAATTGTTTTATCTTCAAAAAACTATTATGTTTTGGCTCTATTAATAGCTTTTCCGAATTTTTTTTGTAATAGAAAATGCATTGGCCATTTTCATTATGAATTGTACACTTTTACCACATAGTTCAGCAGCTACGGAACGCATATTTTTTAGCATCAAATTTAACAATTTAACAAAATGCAGTATAAGTTGCATGTTATTTTTTATTGAAGCTACTATAATAAAGCTCACATTGCTAATTTTTGCTAATTTGTTTCTAATAAAAAGAATCGTTATACTAATAACAATTCTATACTTTCCGAGAATGGATACATTTAACATAGATTCTTTCTCGAAATTACATACATTTTGTTTTCGAGTGGAAACACTGATCCTAAATTCTCATAAATATTTGACCAATTAGAAAAAGCTCAATCTTCAGGTTATATAATTCAGGATTTTAGGGGATTTATTATTTCCTTCAAGCAAACATTCCAAAATTCTTTACAAATCGCTTTAAGATCTGGCTCGCAATTTAATTCACAAATTCCGGAATTAATTTCATTTAAAAAATATTCTTCATGCGGGTTTGCATTATAAAAGTTCTGACCTTGTATAAAATATTATTTATAGAATTAAAATTTTTTTTTTTGGAATATTTTTAAAATTCAATTTAATTAAATAATGAGAGCGGTCCATATTGTAGTTAATGCTTA